TATATATATATATATATATATATATATATATATATATATATATATCAAAAAACTAATATTCCATGGTTATAATTTATTACATTGGAATCGTAATCACGATACAATTCATCAGACGTACAAATTGAAAAAGAAATCGGAAAATATAAAAAACAAAATTTCAGTGAGAGTGTATGTGTAGGAGTGGGAAACAAGTGTGAGAGGGAAATGTATGAAATCTCTAGAGAGAGGGTGTAACAGAAGAAAGAAGAACAGGAAAGGCCTTAAGGTGGAGGTAGGGATTAAAATTTAACAGAGATGTTTCATTTAAGACGGCAGACAAGGTACTACGATTAAACTTTTTATTTAATTTTTCTTGTGTTCGGAAAAAAAAAAGATTAAAAATAAGAGAAGTCTAATAATAATAAAAAAAGTAAAAGCCAACACCCAATAATATTAACTACGAACACGGCCAAAACATGCTAACTGTTTTCGGAAAATAAAGCATCTCTATAACTCTAAAAACGCACACACAAACCATACATCCAATTAAAAAGCAAAAATAAAATCATCCTTGATAATGGCTAAAAGTATAGCCAAAAGCACTCGGAATTATAGAACATTTGGACAGTTTCTAAACACTCTGAGTCCAAAAAAGAAAACACTTGTTCAAACACAAGAAAAATTAAATAATAAGTCTAATCGGAGTACCTTGTCTGTCGTCTTTAATGAAAAATATATAAATATTATTTTTAAGTAACGTAGTATTTTTTATCGTTATATTACAGTTATAACTGTTTTTCGTCCGATTTTTGATATGATTTTTATAGTTTAACTAATATTTTGGTCATAATGGTTTGTTAATTTGTTTATTATTTATTTATTTATTTGGGTTCATTGATTTTGTTTTTTATTTATTTTATTTCATCTATTCTATATAAATGAAGGATTGCTGCCTAAATACACAATATATATATATATATATATATATATATATATATATATAGAGAGAGAGAGAGAGAGAGAGAGAGAAAGAGAGAGAGAGAGAAAGAGAGAGAGAGATATATATATATATATATATATATATATATGGTATAACAGAAAAATTGTCAAAATCGTAAAACACAATCACTAAACTAATTGAGTTTCTTTTTTTACAGGTTTTCAGATAAGACGTTTAACCACCTTGACACCATTTTTCGTAAGAATCATCCTTTGAGTTATTCAACTAAAAAGAGAGCAGGTTAAAATTCTTTTATGTCAGACCTACTATCTTCCCAACTGAGCAATGGTGAGAAAAAAACAAACAAAAAAAAATTCAGATCATTCACGCCTTCAGTAATGGCTTCCATCTTAAAAGTCCATTCAAGAATCATCAAGAGAACGATGAATAAGGATCATAATTTCAACTCAGAGCTAAAGAGTTCAATTGGAAAAGATACAACTCAATCCATAAGACTTTTGTCACGTGACAGAAGAGTTTCAGCTATGACAGTCCAAAGAGCAATGTAAAAAAGTCTTGAAAATGAAATCGTACGTGAAAATTGTAAAACACCTTCTTACTCCAGGACAGAAAGTTAGCAGGTTACAGAGGGCAAAGATTATGTTGAATAAGTTGGAAAATAAACCTGGAATAATATATATATATATATATATATAATATATATATATATATATATATATATATATATATATATACATATGAACTTTATTTCAACACTTCATGAGCTTCCGATCCTTATCTATGATTAAGGTTGAACATGTCATTTTCGTTTATGATCGATTCCATGACGATTCTTCTGTTAAGCTTGGAGAGTAATTATACATTCTTAATGCTCAATGTAGAGTCCAATAGTGTTATAAAACCTCGGAGATTTCCAGTAAGATATCTTTAATCATTTCTAAGATACAACGGTCCAAAGCTTAATGTAACAAATGCACAATTTTGCTTTTTCACGATTTGAACAATTTTGCTGTTACACCCGACATTATAATATATATATATATATATATATATATATATATATGTGTGTGTGTGTGTGTGTGTGTGTGTGTGTGCGCGCGTGTGTGTGCCTGTGTGTCTGTGCAGATATTTTTTTTTATTTTTAATGCGACATTTTTATTACATCAAACATTATTATAGTGGATATTCGCATTTGAAATAGACCCCTATTTTTATTTTGAACTGTGGGTATTATGCCAATGGGCCTCCACATTCGAGAAAGTTTAATAAAGAAAATGTGTTCTCTGGCAGGATCGAACTTGCGTTGCTCTTTGTATGTAAAACCACAATACAGGGAACGCCAGTTCGAACATTGCCGGAGAACATATTTTGTTTATTTTTATACATATTGTTTTAAATAAAAAAGTGTTTTATATTTCAAATACGAGTGTCTACTATAATAACGTTCGAAATAATATATATATATATTATTATTATTATTATTATTATTAATGTCATAAGGTTAATATTCCCTTTAAAGCAACTATCTTTCACCATCCTCTGTCCACTGTCTCGTGCCTTTCGTCTGACTGAAACATTGAAATGGATAAATTCTGGATTAGTCCACACCCTGGGGTTGATAAGACACACGACAGATATTTTCGTCTGCTGAAATGAGTTTATTTCCAACATCAGGTGATTTGGGATTTTAATTGTTTATTAATTATTTGCTCTGTAATAATAAATACATTGAACTCTTTTTGTGGATCAGTTTTAATATTTTTAATTACTAGGATCCACTTGGATATACCGACGGACGTTCTGAATAATGAGTAGCCCGTAATCGCTTCAGGCTTACATAAACTGTCCATTTGTCGCCTCTCAAGTGACAGTGAACACAGAAATTATATTCGCAAGAACATAAGACGTTGATAATTTTCAAAACAAAACTGCTTTCATTTAATCTTCATAGAGATCCTTTTCTGCATCAACGTGGCTAATGTTAACCTTCAGGAGAGTAATAACTTGCGCTTTCTTGGGCTCACGTTTTCCAACATGGAGTGAAGTGATTATATATATATATATATATATATATATATATATATATATATATATATATGTTGAAACTTGACTAATACATGGAATAATAATGCAACACAAAATGTACTTAGAACAAAATGTATTGAAACAAGAAAGTGTACACAATATTTACATATAGTCTTTTGTATATTCCTGGTAAGACCGTTCCTGGAGAATGTGTTGACTGAGTCGCAGTCGGGCAGAATCTCTGGTTGAATCTCTTGATTCCTCCCTCTCTTCACGGTACCAACCATATTTATATGGTCGGTACTCCACTATGCAAATTAGGTGGATCCTACCACAACAATATATATATATATATATATATATATAATTTATTATAAGAAATTATAATGAAAACATTGAAATCGCTACAAAAAGCTTTCATTCTTCAAGCGATGGTAAGTAACTAGTGATTAGATGTTAATTTTGTCAACTAAATTAACAACAGTATTATCTACTTTTCCATAATTTCTAGTTAAGTTTTTCCTAATTAAAATATTATAATTTTCAGAGTAATTTTGTAGAAATTGGCTTTTTTGTCAGATTTGCCACAAATCATGTCAGACGAATGAATGTCCTTTACAACTAAGTCTCTCTCTATATACATACTAGCAGTAGAGCCCGGCGTTGCCCGGGGATGTAACAGTAAGAGATAGATCAAGTATCGACCATCATAAAGACTGAAAAATAAAATTGACAAAGATTATTGTTTAAGGTTGACGGAAATGCATGTCTTAATTAGTTTTTTTTTACGAATTGGTCAAACTGAAACAAAACCATTGTTTTCAATCGTTATGAGTCTATCAATTGAATAGAATTTTATTATAAACAATTGTCGTGTAAATGGAATTTTTAAAACATTCTGAATGTAAAAATAAAGAAAAAAGTGTGCAAGACAATAAGAAACACTACCTGCCAAAAAAAAAGGAAATTTTGTTGAAATCGGTTGAAAAATGTAGGAAATCCGATCCCATATATAAACACACACACACAAACAACCTGGGTTTTATAATAAATATAACTCGAGATGGGTTGTCCCCCTTTCATTCTGGCGACAGAATCGTGTTTTCAAATTGATTTAGTGCAAAAACAATTGTGTTTGTCCATTTTTGGCACTGTCAGAACCACCACAAGGTAATTTTACGTAGTCTTGTGAAGTTTTGTTGAAATCGGTTGAAAAATGTAGGAAATCCGATCCAATATATAAACGTACAGACACACACACACAATCTGCGTTTTATAATAAGTAATATATATATATATATATATATATATATAATGTGCAGATGGTTTAATATTTAGGGGCTCGGAACGAAAAGCCTGCGACCAGAGTGCGGGTCGAGTTTGTTACATAACCATTCACAAAAATACTCATAGGAAACTTATGAATCGAGCTTTTTCCCTGGCTTTCTTGTTTTGTGGTGGCAACCAGTCGAGAAGAAGGAAAAAAAATTCGAGGTGGCAAGCAGTTGTGAAGAAGGAAAACATTTTAGAAGTTGTAACCAGTGGTAAAGAAGGTAAACTCGTTTGAGGTGACAACCTGTCTAGAAGAAAGAAAACTCGGAATTCAAAACTGGGAAAAGTAACTTGCTTTGGAAAGCAACTTCTTTTGTATTCTGTGTGTTGCCTCATACTCCACAGTTGGAATTTACGGAACTTATATATATATATATATATATATATATATATATATATATATATCACTCAAGTTCGTAAATTAAATTATAAATATATATATATATATATATATATATATAATTACACAATAGGGCGTTAAAGTAATAAAAAGAAAGACAAAGCTCAAGGCAAAAGAAAAGACAAAGCCTAAAATTTGATAAAAAAGGAGAGTGCCCGATACTATTTTCAAAATCTGTGCAAAGAAATGAATAAATGGAATTTTATTTTTTAAGGTCTTTTTAAAAACTTTTCACCACATTCATATATATATATATATATATATATGACAATGATAAAATTCAAAAAAGAGATAGGTAGAGACCTTGTATGTATAATAGTAGTAGTAGGAAAGAAAGAAAGAAAGAAAGAAAGAATAAATACAGAGACATTAGCTGTAGGTAGGACAAAGAAAGATGGAAGAAGACAAGACAAAATTGCAGTTTCATTTTCCTTTCTTAAAAGGAGACTGCAATGAAATAACACAACGTCGACAAAATGTAAAACTAACGTCCTAATATTACTACTACTACTACTACTATTGTCACTATTATTATTCTTATTAATAAATAATAATAATAATATATAATAGAATTTGCAATAAGAATAAAATCTCTCATATCAACTACTACTTGTCATATTATAAAGGTTAATAATAATATTTATTTTTATTGTTATTTTTGTTATTATTAAGAAAAGAATGAATTAATGACAACAAAAGCAACAAAAATTGTCTACTGCACACAACTCTGCATTTTCATTGGTTGAGCCAGATTGATAACGGCTGCAAAATTTGTACACCAGATGGGATCGTCGTTGGGTGGGGGCTAGAAAAAAAAAAAAGAGAAAAAGAAACCAAAAGTGAAAGTGAAAGTACGAGGATTCTTGAACAGACCTTTTGGCTGTGAACAAGGAAGGTCTTTGAACAGGAATGGGCAGGGAGGAAGAAAGGTTTTGTAGTGGTGGGTAAAGAGGGTCGAAAGAGACACAAGAAATAGACAAGCGTCAACGTATAGGTTGGTGAGTGAAGGCAAAATAGCATAATAGGAGGTTTCTTCGGGACAATTTTCTTTCTCACTCTTAGTTTTTCTTTTTCCTCGTCTTAGGAGTCGGAGAGGGAATGGATCTAACAATATAAGAAAAATATCTAGGAACTATAAAACGATGTCCTAGAAGATGAAGTATGAGCTAGTTGATAGTGTTTTGTATAGTGAAAGAACAAGAGACAGCCAGCTATTATTAGATGGAGGCATGTTTTTCTTTCTTTTTTTTTTTTTTGAAGAAGAAATTTTGACTGAAATGAAGGCGAGTAAAACAGAGATATGGGGTAGGGGTGAAAAATTTGCAAAAAAGAAAAGGAAAAAATACTAAAAAAGAAGAAGAATTTCGATGCGATTATTTGTTGTTTTTTTTTTTTTAATAAATTTTAATTAAAAAAACCCAAAAAACAAAATAACGCCCATTTTGTTTAGCAACGCATCTCTTATGTCTCATTCGCTTCTAAGACTTTATATTCTGCCTCTTCTATTTTTTCCCTCTTAAAAGTTGTACCGTCCGGGCAATGCCTTAACCTTTTCCATGTCTGGACAGAGAAAAGCTTTAGATGGAGTGAATATTCGATTGGGACAGCGAAAAGACGGCAAAGCCTTTTCCTCTTCCGCTTCTCTTTCGTCCATTTTTCGTCATCGCCCATCATCGGAACGAACTTCACTGACGTCCTTTTATCACAGCGCGTAATTCTATTATCTTGCTTATTTGGCCGTTCGAAAAGTGAGGGATCCTTAGGGATGACGGGTGTGGAAGGGAATTTGTACTGAGAGGCGGAGGGTGGGGAATTTTCGAGAAATGGTTGACAGTGAGGTGGTTAAGGGTTTGGTAGAAAGAGCGTAGAAAGAGATGTTTGGGCGTAGCCGGACCGACCCGATAGCATTGTTGGACGTAAAAAAAGAAAGAAAGAAAGAGTAGATGAATTTACAAAGTGGTTGAGAGTATACATGTACACACACACACACACATACGCACACACATATAATATATATAAATTTGATTATTTTTTTTTGATACGGTATTACTTTTTATTACTATAAACGTTATATTTAGAAAGAACACATATACCGGTTATTTATTTTATTTAAACAGATAAATACATATCTACTGGCCTAGAGATTGAAAGTCATATAAAAGAAAATGTAGCTCTCGATAAGAAATGAACTTGTATTCAATTTTAAACCTGGGAAAGCACATTCAAAGCAAGTGTTCTTTACCGCTAAGCTAAGAGAAAAGAATGGACGTTTGATTGTATGTGTATGTATATTTATATTCTATCAAAGCGTGAATGAAAATCTGTTTTTATTATATATATATATATATATATATATATATATATATGTGTGTGTGTGTTTATATGTACATCTATGTTAAATTTTTAATTAACCCTAGAACACTAACTATGGGTATATAGTATCCAGCGCAAATTTTCCTATTTTTAATTACAATTTTCAGTATCTGATTTTCTTACCTAAATAATATATTTTTCAGTTCCTATTAATGTTAAATCAAAGTACAAAGTTTGAAGTGCCTCCATGTAAAATATTTCAAATAAAGATTTATATTTAATTTTTTTTTTGTATTTTCAAAATCGGGTACGGTATATCCATGATTAATAGTGCTGTAACTTTAATTGATGGTTAGTGTTCTAAGGTTAATATTTAATTTATAAATTTGGCGCAATAAGAGATTAAACGAGAAATCATAATAAAATCGGACCATTATGAGAATATGCTGATTTAAGGACCTGTGACAAAAATTCGTTGTTACCTTAAATCTTCTGATGTACAAGTAGAACTCAGTAACAATAATTACTAATAATATAAAACAACTTTAACAATATACTCCAATAAATCTTGACAAAAACAATGCAATACACTTTCAACATCCTTAATTGGACTGTAGCTGACATGAAGGAAATGAATACCGAAACGAGAAAGCTTCTAACTTGCCACCGCATGCATCATCCTAAGGTTGATGTTGTCAGTACGTGCCCAGATCCAAAGTAGGCAGAGGATTAGTTCAACTAGAACTGTCTTGCAAAACTACAACAATTGGTCTTCAACGATACCTGGAAACTACAGAAGACTGAATGATTATCTGTGTAAAAAAAAAAAAAAAAAAAAAAATGAAAGAAATAACAAACTTTATTCAGTAATAAAGGGAACCAACAAATTCAAGATGGAAGCGGGTGAAATGCAAGTTGACCATAATGCACCTACGGCAGCCGCAAAAAGCCCAAAAAGTAAATGTAATGTATCAAATGCAGAAACTATGATAAGATAAACCTCTTCATGGTCAATATTCTATCCGTACCAAACAAGCTGATGTAGACAAACTCCATACCCACCAGTGATTACACAATGCAGGGTTAAATGCGGAAATCGAAGGTTTTATTCTTGCTACAAGGACCAATGCTTGTTAACTAGAAATTATCAAGTATATACTGAAAAACTGTTAAACTAAAATGCAGATTCTGTGATGAATATCCAGAGACAGTTGATCATCTTGTATCAGGTTGCACAGTGTTAGTATCCACTGAATATAAAACTCGACATGGTAGATTTGGCCCGGTTTCAGAGATAGGACCTGTAACAATTTTATGGCACTTTACAATACACACAGGCAGAACAATCAAAGCTAATCGCCCAAACATCAAAGATCAAAGACCACAAAAAATAGAATGTTCTTGATTATTGACATGTCAATTTCTGCAGATTGTAATGTATTTTTAAAACTCTTCAAAAAACTATTAAAATGCAAGGACCTTGAAGTGGAAATCTCAAACATGTCACAGGCGAGGACATCAATAATTCCAGTTGTAGTTGGAGCACTGGGATCGATTGAAACATATTCCGATAGAGTCATTGAAGGGATTCCTGGTTACACATGCCTTAAAGAAATAGAATGTTTGTACTCACAAGTAGAGTCACACATTTCGAAGGGCTTTATGTATGTAAAATGTGTATGGTCTTAGGCTGTCTGTTACATTTGTTTGTATTTTTATGATCAGTAGAATATGTCATGATGCAATTTCTGGCATAAGATCTTTGGTTGAGAACCGGAAGGAAATTAGTGTACAAACAAAGGATAATAATAATAATAATAATAATAATAATAATAATAAGCACATCCCATCTCCCCTCAGGCTTGCAAACATCCATGACAATAAAATAAACTTTTTTCGGCGCTAAGACTGAATTAATAAAATAAAGCTTCATAAGCTACTTAGAGTTGTTATATTTCAACAAAAAAACAATAATAATAATAATAATAATAATAATAATAATAATAATGATAAGAAGAAGAAGAAGGAGAAAAAGAAGAAAAGAAGAAGAAAGGAGAAAAAGAAGAAAAGAAGAAAAAGAAGAAGAAAAAGAAGAAAAAGAAGAAAAGAAGAAGAAGAAGGAGAAAAAGAAGAATACGATGAACACAAAATTCCGCTATAAAGTAATTTAAATAAAATATAACACAACAGTTTTTCTGGTTTTCCATAAACACGATATTACCGTTCATTTTTATTTTTCAAGATAATGATTTAATATAGATTAACTGCCTATATATATATATATATATATATATATATATATATATATATATATATATATATATATATATATATATATATAAATAAAAAGAAAGAACAGTAAGACATATAATCCGGTGTTCTTATAGATATTTTTATTTTTACAAAATAGTGCTCAATGTAAATTTACAGAGCATTAATATTATAAATTAATTGATTTAAAATATGTTTTTTTTCGCTACACAGTTCTAACCATGTTTCAAAAATGGAAGCTATTGCTACGTTTTGAAAAATACATCCCTACCCACTACCAAAACGTAGCAATAACTGATACATTAAAATATAGACACCGAGACAACCCTCGTCTAGTAAATTGGATTCATCTGTAACCTTCGAAACATGAATTATGTTTTTAGCTGTGTCTTTAAAACCCAGTAATTTTAAAAGTTACTCCAAAATTCGCTTGAGGATGAAATGGAACTAATGTCTTTAATTTAATTACAAAATTAAATTCGGGGCTTTTAGCTTCCATTTTTGAAACATGGTTAGAACTGTGTAGCGAAAAAAAACATATTTTAAATCAATTAATTTATAATATATATATATATATATATATATATATATATATATATATATATATAATAATGTGCCGAAACTTATCACTTAAATGAGTGGTGTTATTTCAATCATGCCAACAGCCCTGAATTAGTGAAGGCATTACTACAATGCGCTCACGAAACTTCAAAGTCGGTATGACTGAAATAACATCTCTCAGTTAATTGACAAGTTTCTCCACATTAATTCTATTAACGCTATATCCTTACCTTTTGATATCGAGCACTTTATAGCAAAACCTGCCTGCCTAAAATGCCTTTCCACCAGTAAACTACGCAAAAAGGACCGGAGATTTTGACACCTAAAAACTTTTACAATTTATATATATATGGAGTTTAAAAATACTAGGAATTAGCGCAAGATTGATTAATTAGTTTTTCATCTGTCAAAATTTTGATTTTAATTTCTTGAACATTTTGCCCATCACTGAATATTAAATCTAACAAAAATGAAGAAGATTTTATTTTCTTAACGCTTCCATCTGAGGAATTATTTCAGATATTATTTTCCCATAAAACTTTGCATAGTAACTTATATAGCTGTTTATATAACTAACATACTTATCTCTCTCTACATATATATATATATATACATACATATATATATATATATATATATATATATATATATATATATATATATATATGTGTGTATATATATATATATATATATGTGTGTGTGTGTGTGTGTGTATAGAGAGTGCGACAGAGAGAGAGAGAGAGAGACAGGCAGACAGAAAGAAAGAGAGGAACAGAGACAAATGAGAGAAACACACACACACACACACACACACACACACACACACACACATATATATATATATATATATATATATATATATATATATATAGGGGAAAGAGAGCGTGGGAAAAACAAATATACAAATATTTTATATATATGCGTTTGCGCGTGTAGGTATATGCGTAAGGAAAAGGAAGTGCTGGTGCGATAGGCATGTCAATGACTAAGCTGATTTAGGTTTAAACACAAAAGAATCAGTTGAAAAGCGAGTAAAATAAAAGTGACAGGAAAAAAAGAAGATTTTTGCTACGTAGAAAGTGCTCTGTAACGTAAAGGAATTAGATAGATAGATAGATAGATAGATAGATAGAATAGAATAAAAAAAAGTGAAATTGAAAGTGAAAGTGAAAGTGGTGCAACGAAGAGAAAAAGGAATGTGTTTGTTATTTCGTTGCATTTGATAGAAAATAAGGTTTGTCTAAAGAGATCCCCAATTCGTAAATGATTGTCAGTGTATTAACTTTTGAATTTCGTTTTGAAAAAAACATGGATCATTTATCCAGGAGGCTAACAACGTAGAAATTGGAATCTGCTTAAAACAATTTACGTTCACTTTGTGCCACTTTGCTTGGGAAAGGCATGAACTCCTCTATTCTTTTCTCTTCCTCATCTTGAGATTAAATAACATAGCAGATTGGATTTCATAGCCTTCTTTGACATCTAAAAGGAGAATTCTAAATTTCGAACAGTGGAAAAAGAAATGGGAAATCATTATTTTTTCCAAGAAAAATCATGACAGTGCTCAGTTTACAGATATTAGAGAAAATGAAAGTTGTGCAGAGCCATGATAACCTTCTTCCTGAAGAGATATAAGCCAAGGAGGATCGTCTCTATTTCCCCGATATTGACTAACAACTTTGAAATCTTCATGACAAAGACCATATAAAACAATACATTGAGACTACGAAACATAGCAATGTTGTTCCGATTTTTTAAGGAGACTCACGAAATAATTCTCGGAGAAGAAACTGAAAGATCCAATCTATAAATGCCAGTAAAAAAAAGTGGTTCCCAAAATAGCACACCTTACCGTTCTGGTCAGGTTCCTGATGACTCAAACAGAATGGGTGTGGCTTGAACCCCGTGGGTGTGAAATTGTAATGAATTTGTGAAATTGTGATGAAGTCTAAGATGCAGAAACGCGTGAAGACAATTACGATCAATACGGTCGCAACAATAGAAGCGTGAAGATGTCTCACCGCTCCTAGATTCCTTCACGAGACAGACGACCAGGTAGTAATGGGTAGCTGGCTAACCTGTTGACATCACTGGGGTGACAGGCTGGGGTGTTAGGCTGTGGTAATAGGCATCTCTATTTCGCACATTCCAAGAAACGTTGGTACTATTCCTGTGCCTCCTCGCTGAAATAAACTGAGAAAAAAAAAAAAACATAGTTCGTCGTTGATCCAGTCTGTGATGCAGCGCTGGGGCCTGAAGAATTGCCGATATACCACGAGAAGCGAAGACTATACGAAACGCAATAAAAACACAGTAATATTTTCATCGCAAAAACGCCATTATTTTGAGAACATAATGGTATAATAACAAACTGTTGGTCTGAAAAGCCTGATCATATATTCTGATTGAGATATTTACATATTTAAATGTTTAGATTTTATGGTCTATTGGATTATTCTATCAGTTAATGGATTATACGATAGATCTACCGATAATCCAATACTGATCAGCATATATGTATAGTCGAACCAAAACACAACAAACATAGCTTGAAGATTACGTTTAAACATGAAACAGACTGTCGCCGTTGGGTGTTGATCAGAATGTCCACTATATATATATATATATATATATATATATATATATATATATATATACACACACACACACTCACATACACACGCACACACGCACGCGCATACACACACACACATATATATATATATGGTTTCAAGCTTCGGTGATCGTACGGGGATCGGTGTTTCAACGTGATGTGACCATAAATCAAAGAAATGGACAGAGAGAGAGAGAGAGAGTGTGTGTGTGAGAGAGAGAGAGAGAGAGTGTGTGTGTGTGTGTGTGTGTGTGTGTGTGTGAGAGAGAGAGAATGTGTGTGTGTGTGTGTGTGTGTGTGTGTGTGTGTGTGTGAGAGAGAGAGAGAGAGAGATGAACTATAAATGACGTTCGCCTATTTTGCATCCCTAGATTTTTTACGTTTTTCTTTTCTTTTTTCGGAATAAAACATTATATTAGCGGCTAAATTGTGCATACTTATATATATATATATATATATATATATATATATATTTCAACCTGGGGGACAAATAAGCACTATTATTGTCAATTTCAGCTAAAAAAAGGAATAAAAGAAAGAATTGTTCATTTAAGTTTAGAATCGCAAACAAGCATCAATTCGAACAACTGGAAGTAGACGATTTTGTTTCGGCTGCGGTCAAGTGAAGCATGATAATGGTTGGAGAAATGACCGGTCGAGTAGCGCTATTAAGACCACCCGACTCCCCCGGTCACACTTTCTTCTGTTAAAAGCGGCGAAATGGCTTGGCTTGCGAACAGCCCGAGCCAAATTGGTCTCCCTCGTCAATTTTACCACAACCTCAAGCATACACGCGTGCACACATATGCGTCCCACTCACACAGAAACCAATTCAAGTTTAATCCGGAACCTCTGTCCCCCACCGCCCCTGCCATCTACACCAGGGTCCTCTGCATCATCGCGCCTAACCCGCCTACCATTCTGTGTGATTAACACGCCTCACTTGTTAACTTGTTTACACTCTCCACACGCTTGCTCAATAGCCTACAATGTCCATCCCTATCTTTTTTATTTTATTTTTTATTTTTCCTCTCTATTTTTCCGACTCTCTAAGGTTTTTAGGCGCCTCCCAGCTCTTTACACCTGTCAAAGAGGCTTTAACGCGAATAGAAAAATAATTACCTAAGATGACAAAAAAAAAAAGAAAGAAAAGAAAATGAAGTAAAATGGTTTAACGCAGTCTGGTACAAGGCTACAATAGACAAGCGATATTTAAAACTCGCGCTAATATTTTGAAGGAGAAGCTTCCCAAATATCACTCTCCCTCTTTCTTTCTTTCTTTTACTTACAATCTCTCTTCTTTCTTTCTTTCTTTCTTTCTTTCTTTCTTTCTTTAAACGTTCGTTACTAACTTAACTCTCATTTTGCATATTTTTCTTTCTTTTTTCTTTCTTTCTTTCTTTCTTTCTTTCTTCTATTTCAGTTTACGCTTTCTTTCTTCGAATTATTCTTTCATCCTTTTTCTTTCTTTGCTTCTTTCTTTCTTTCTTCTATTTCAGTTTATACTTCCTTTAGTCGTTCTTTCTTTCTTCCTTCTTTTTTCCTACTTCAGTTGATATTTTATTTTATTCTTTCTTTTGTTCTTTCTCTCGTTCGTTGTTTCTTTCTTTTACTTCAGTTTAAAATTACTTTCTATTTTTCTTTCATTCATTCTACGGCAATTTTCATCGACTTCTTAATTTACAATCTCTGTTACTCTTCTTTTTTTTTTCTTTCTTTCTTCGAATTCAGTTTACCTTCTCTTTGTTTCTCGTAGAAATCTGGCAATAAAGGAGTTGTTTTGAGTTCTTTTTTGATACGAACTAGATTTTGGTTGTCTACAAAAGCTACCCTCTTATGCCAGTCACAATTTCCTTCTTTCCATCTTTTTTTTCCATCTTTTTCGTTTTTTTTTCATTTCCTTTTCATTATTTATTCTATTCTACTTTTTCTTTCGTTTTTTTCCCATGTTAATGACTTCCGACTTCTTTTTCATTCGTCACACTGGTTATAAATACAATTTTTTTGTTGTTTTCTTTCTTTCTTTCTTTCTTTCTTTCTCAATGAATATGTCTACTTTTTCTATCTCTTAATTCTTCGTTTTCCCTTTCTGTTTTTTTGAAATTCCTTTCTTTCTTTCTTTCTTTCTTTCTTTCTTTCTTTCTTTCCCAATGAAAATATCTTCTCTTCCTGTCTCTTTATTTCTTCTTTTTCCGTTTTTGTTTTCTTTCTTTCTTTCTTTCTTTCTTTCTTTCTTTCTTTCTTTCTTTCTTTCTTTCTCAATGAAAATATTTACTCTTTCTGTCTCTTAATTTCTTTGTTTCCACTTTTTGTTTTCTTTCTTTCTTTCTTTCTTTCTTTCTTTCTTTCTTTCTTTCTTTCTTTCTTTCTTTGCATCCCTCTTTAGATCCATGCTTACTCAGCCCCTACTTCATTGATCAATCTCCTCTCGTCGCAACGGTAGCTGAAAGAGCAAGCGTGGCTTTGCCATGTGCCAGGGACGAATCCCATTGAAATCTCTTAATTTGCATCTAGGCAGAAGCGGCCAGCGCGCATGGCTTGTCAGCGTTTCATTACAGAGCGATGATCCCCCAACCACCCGACAGGAAACCAAAAAGGGCGGAAGAACACGAAAAAAGTCACAAATAATAATAATAATAATGATAATAATGAATGCCCTGATGCTACAACAAGCAAGGCTCTTAAATCTTTTGATCTTAATTGATTGGAAGTGTTAACATGGGCATATTTCGTCTTGGTAAATTAAGATTGGTTACAGTAAATATCCTGTTCTGTATCACAGGTTTGCTTGTTTGTTGCCCGCCCATCCATCAGGACTGATACACTGTGTATCTCTTCATGAGCGGGAATAGTGAACGAGTACCATGGCCGGCTGTAGTTAGGATTGTTATTTTGAAGTTTGATGGACAAGGCAGCCAATGTGAATCATATCTGTGTACTTGAGAACGCCCTTAATCGTAGGATATCTGAGCGGACTTGGTTAACCAATCTGAAGTTATTTCGCACTGAGCCCCAACTGCAATGTTACGCGCCGCTTTTATCAAAACCTGACAAAACCTGGTGCATGTGTCTGATATACCCTTATCTGGTGGATGCCATGATAGGTATATTGGACTTCGTATACTTGTCTCCAAGAGTCACTTTTTGGAATGCTCCTCTGCTTGTCTCTCACTTAAATTTTAATTAGTACATAACTAAATTCAAGCCCTGCCAATAGATGATAATGAACTACTCCGTTTTGATCGGGTGAAAATACGGAAAAGACATATGAGAAACACTGTTAGGTTTCAGCAAGAAAATGAAAGAAAGGTTTGGTTTGGTTTGGTTTGGTTTACGGCATATCAATCTCAATGGGTTATTTAATGCCCACAACATTTGTATTGCTGGTAATATTTTTTTTTTAAAAATGTATTACTGGTAATAATGTATTGCTGGTAATAACGTATTGCTGGTAATAATTTTTTCTTAAAAAATTTATTGCTGGTATTTTTTTTAGAAAAAAGCTATTGCTAGTATTAAAACCTATTTTTACACTTTCATAGTGTTTTGACCCAAGTTTGGAGGTTAACGATTTGTACATAGCTGGGACCCTAAAATGTGCTACCACCCCGGGTCAGGGTGGACCTGGGAACACCAGCAATTAAGAGGTGGTTCCACGCTCCTCAAAATCTCCAGTTCAGAGGCTTGCTGTTGGAAGTAGTTTATCGCCTTATCCAGGACGCCTCCTTTTGGTGGGTTAACTATTTGCCCATAGCTGGGACCCTGATAGATTCTAACACCCCGGGGAAAGGTGAACTTGGAAACCTCAGTGGTTCCATGCTCCTCAAAACCTCCTGATCAGAGACTTGCCGTGGACTGTAGTTTATCGTCTTATCCAGGACACCGCCTTTTGGGCATTAACTATTTCCCCATAAATGGGGCCCTGATAGGTGCTACCACCCTGGGGTCAGGGTAGACCTGGGGACACCAGCAATTAAGAGGTGGTTCCACGCTCCTCAAAACCTTCTGATCTGAGGCCTTGCTGTTGGATGTAGTTTATCGTCTTACCAAGGACTTGGATCTAGTTTATCGTCAGATGAAAGAAAGAAAGAAAGAAAGCAGGGAAGATTCAGTGAAATGAAAAACGTAGTCACTTTCAGATCTTTTCATTTGTATCCCCTTACTTCTTTAAATAACGAGCAACATTCATATTTATGTTTGTTATTGCAACATTTTGTTAAAGTTGTTAAACTCAAATATTTAACGATACAATAGGTGAATTTCCACTGATATTTTATAGTCATAAAACTTGCCATGAGCTTATTCAATCATTAACTTGAGAATTAAGATTCATAAGATATTTCAAATAGTAAAAGAGTGAAATATTCACGGGTCTTTCTCGCATAATAATAACAATAGTGCAAATTTTATTGCACCATATCCAATGAGAAATAAGGTATGTAATTACGGAGACAACTTGACACATATTTTAGAAAACGTATTGATGGAAATGCTCATCAAACTACATGAACGTTTTTGTACAAGGGAGACATAAAAAGAGAAAGCGAGTTGTTATTAATGCTAAACTTAAATAGCACTAAAAAAAAAAATGTACAGGCTGCGATGGATAAATTGTCGTCTAATTTACGCAACACTGAAAATAATACTGACCTCATTTTAACAGATATATTTACAAAAAAAAAGTATCTCGAAATACTAAAGAGTAAATTTATTTAATAAAATCGCCACTGGCTTCAACCACGGCCCCCAGAAAACTTCGGAATCTCCTGCAACTCCTTCTTTAATTTGGTGAATGCTGCCATAATCCTTGCCTTCAGTTAATCTTTGGCATTACAAGGAGTTATGTTAGCCTCTCACTCAAATGCACCCTACATATAATAATCAAATGGGTTGCTGTATGGGGAGTTAGGTGGCAAGATGTAAGGGATAATGTGGTCGCAGATGATATCTAACAGCCATGACTGGGTTTTCCTGCTCGTGTGACATGGTGCAAAGTTGCCAGTCATAGGGTCTTCCAGCAAACATCCTCTTGACCAATGGCAGCACTCCCACTTCAAGGCACTTGATGTAGGCTTTCGTGTTGTGTCTGAGGCTCTCCATTCTGGATTTTTTTTCTTATTGTACCTTCGTAATCACCATTAGACTCATCCGAATCCTTCTGAATCTTGCTTTGTCCTCAGATTGACACACCCAAATACTCTGAAATGCCAAGCAGTACAAGCATACCTTTTCCAAATTTCTGGTGGAGGGAATTGCGTCATGGTGCTCTTTTTCTCACAGATCGTGCCCAACTGACCCCATTATAGTGCGCATTCGACAAAATTAAAAAGAAACAACGCGCATGCGTGAAATTAAAAATATAAAATGGCGTCAATTTACCCATCACACATTTATAAAAAAACCCGACAGACAACAAGTGATTCAAATGGATACCTCAATACATGCCAAATTCTACTCCTCTGCGGCTTTTCAAGATGTAGGCGGTCATGGATCTCTTTTTAATATGTGAGAATCGCTTTGGCATTCTTAGGAAATATAGTAGAGTTGTTTCAAGTTGCTTTTTGCATTCTCCTAGACTGGCTCCTGATACCAGACTGCCTTGTTATCTAATTAATAGCTGAGAGTAGGTTGGGGAAATATAGGATTCTTGCCTTTTCTGAAATTAATACGGAATTGAACGCAATAGACTAGGCTGGAATTTGAACTCGACTCGCCGAATTCACTTTTCGCGCCGATATTCGTCCCGCTACGCGCTTATCAAACATGTCAGATAAGCTGATCAAACCAGTCATATAAAAAAAAAAAAAATAAAATAACCAAACAAACGTACCAGACAGTAGATTTCGCTGTCCCATCAGGCCATAGAGTGAAATTAAAATGTAACACTTGATAAGTATCTGGACTTTGCCGGGAAACTAAAGAATTCAGTGCAACATAGAGGTGACAGTATCAGACAGTATCTCATCGTATCCGGGCCATTGGGGATAATTCAGGAAGCCCTAGCGAAAAGACTGAGGGAAGACCTGAAATTATCCAAGCATTTGTGATATTTAAACGCAAATATCAAAGAGACGTTCCGCCACATCATCCTCAAAATGTGCCACCAGTTAATACTGCTGTCAAAATTCAAACAATACAAGCAGACATAGCATAAAATTATTACATTTGTTAAGCCCCCGTTAAGAAACATTATGTGCAGGTTTAATAGTCAATGAGATTAAGTTGCGCCCTAAGACTACGTGGTAAGTTTGTGTAGTTGATTTTGTTTAGCAGCATATATATATATATATATATATATATATATATAGATAGATAAAAAGAAAGAACAGTAAGATATATAATCCGGTGTTCTTATAGATATTTTTATTTTTTACAAAATAGTGCTCAAGAAACATGGTTAGAACTGTGTAGCTAAAAAAACACTTTTAAATCAATAATATATATATATATATATATATATATTTTATGTTTATATATTCTTTTTATGTTTATACAAATATTTAAGTCAATGTCAATCTGTTTATAACAAACAATATTAAACAACATTTACCGGCCCGAATGTCTGAGAAATTTTCATAGAAAATATTCGTCCTCCGACAGGATTCTGTGAGAATGTATAAACATAATAATGTTTTAAAATAATTGTCGGACTTTGTCCATTTCATAATATATATATATATATAAAGTTTTACAGCCTCAACTACAGACAAAGTGTATTGTTGGTAATATTGCTATAAAATACTGGTATTTCTGCTACAAAAATGCATTCCTACACTTTCATAGTTTTTTTTTGTCTGTTTTTGAGTTATTTGCCCATAACTGGGACCCTAACAGATGCTACCACTCTGGGTCGGGGGGAACCTGGGAACAACAGCAATTAAGAGATGGTTTCATACTTCTCGAAAATTCAAATCTCCTAATCAGAGGCCTTGCTGCTGGGTGTGATTATCGTAGCAATGCGCGGAGGACTTGCCAATGATTAGAGAAAATATACAATACGGAAATACCCTCCCTACGCCCTTAATTGGTTCCAAAAGCGCTACATATACATATAGTAAAGTTAACAAATCCA